CAAAGGAGAGCCCTTCTTTCTCTGTAGATTCCATCGACAGAACATAGAATAGTATTTTTTTTCAAAACTTGTCTAAATCAACTCTTCATTGACAAAGTTTGATATACAATGATAACAAGCAACATGAGAGAGACATTTGGATGACTGAAGCTCACTTTCATGGGTTGTTGGCTTTGTCAAAGAAACATGAGATATAAAAATATTTGCGTTCTCTTACTCACATGACTCTCCAGAATTGTACAGTTCGATTACAACAATAACATTATGCTATATTCAGAGTTTATTACGATCTATATGGCACGCGTAATCTCTACTCGAAAGCGAGTTAACTAATGGGAACGTTCTTCCGTAAGTATTCTTTCTACCGATAATATTTTCATGTACCGACCTGGTTTGAGAACAGCCATATGAGGAAAAGAAGGATAGAGAAGGATGGCTTTCAAAAAAGAAGGAGGAAAGAAGGATCTTGTTTTTTGCCATAAAAAGAGTTCTGTAGTATCTTAGACATGCAAGTATGTTGGGAATAGGGCTAGACACTTAGTTTCTTTCAAGAGTAAGGATATCTTGCGTTATAAGAAACACAAACACAAGTTCATGCGTTGTATCTCTATGGAAAGCGAATTGAATTCTAGAAGAAAGCAATGACTCAAATGTGAAGCCTATAAACATTCTGAAAATACGAGACAGTAACTTTTGAGAGTAGCGATAAATGCATATCTATGGACTGCAATTGACGAAATAAGATATTCGCAAGAATTTTTAACTAATTCTTATTTATTTAATATACAAAATAGAACAATATCACTTACTCAATAGGATCTACAGAATACTCCGCAATGAGATTCAACATTTGTCCTATAACACGCAACAAGTACCTTACCATAGAATTTACTCAATATCTATAGAATTTTGGCACAAAAAGGCATTGCTCAAACAAAATTTTTAGATTTCATCAACAGATTTTTATATGTCCACCAAAATTTTAAAAACTACACGAATCTATTTTCAAAGAAAAACAACACAGTTGTTAAAGATAAAGTGAGATAGCAACTTAGATGCTCTTTGCTAAACAGTTAGTTTACTTGTCTTGCTTCACAATATGCATCTGTTACACTATGGCACAATGTAAACCTAACACAACACTACATTCAACTACCAAAGAGGAATTATTCACATGAGTTCAAACATGCTGGTATCGAGATACTATAAAAGATACAAATTCTGGTGCTAGATTAGAATTTTACTTCAATCCTGTAGGAGAAACAGAGTTCTCAGCAGAAATCTATTGTTGATAAGGGAATGCAAGAAAGATAGCTACCTGAGAACAGGTAATTAGGTATGCACCAGTCCGACTGGGTACCCAGTCATGACTGGTACCCAGTCATGACTGGTAGCAGTCATGACTGGGTCATCAATCATTTTATCTTTAATTTATAACATGAATAATACCTCCCTCTTTCTTATCAGATTATCATAAACTCATCTTAACCTATTAAAGAGCTAATACGACTCATATCATGGAAATAATTGATTATTAATTCTATGATATAACTCGTATTAGTGCTCTAATAGGTTATGATGAGTTTATTATAATATTATAAGAAAGAGGGAGATATTATGCATGTTATAAATTAAAGATTAAATGATTGATGACCCAGTCATGACTGGTACCCAGTTCACCAGTCATGACTGGAACTGGTGCATACCTACAGGTAATCCGATTCTTCGATCCTATGGGAAAACTCATCGGACCTAGAAAAATCCAGATGGGTCTTGTCTGAAATTGGCGAAATCACGAAATAGGATTCCGTCAGTCAAATCCGATTGACGGAAAACGTTTGGATAACCAGCACTCCGATAGAATTCGACTAACGCAACCTATTTAGAGCTTCCATGAACTTCAAACAGAATTCAGTCGGATTTGGCTGGATCTAATAGAATCCCACGGAGCGGTTTTGACCTGAGACTATGAAGAAACATGAATACATCACAGAATTCTCCATTTCTATTTTGACAAATTCTGCGACTGCTGAGTTTAAAACAAAAACAGCAAAAAGGAGGAAAAGGAGGAGCATTTGCTAGCCATATACCAACAGAAACGTGTGGCTGAAAATAAATGCTTGAAAATAAATTGATATTATATTAATAAAAATGGTGATATATGAAAATCATTCAATTATTATAATTTAATAAGAAAAGAAGCAATAAGAGATCAGTAAAATAAAATAAAAATACTTTAGGACATTGCAGAGATGAAGTTTGAAGTCGAATATTAAAATGGTTGATCTCAGAAAAAGAACTTTCTTGTTTTATATCACGAGCTTAATCTGTCTTCTAGGAGATATGTTCATCCTATCGAATACAGAAATTTTTTAACCAGAAATCATTGAATCATGTCAATTTCTAGAATTAAAACCAAAATTAAAAAAAAACTTGCAAAACCTCAAGTCAAATTGATTTTCGACAAATAGTTTTCTTCAAACACTATTATATCATTCATAAATTTTGCAATGGATCGAATAAAAATCATGTAATCTCTATTCTCTCTCCTCTCTAAAATTGCTTAAATAATTCTTCAATAATCTTATATAATCCATATCAAATTTTGAAACTCTAAACAAATTAGTATAAAGTTTCATTTTCTCAAAATTATTCTACATCATTTATATAAGATTTATATATTTCAAGATTATCATTATTGTATTAAGTAAATTAAATATCATTTTATTGTCGAAAAATATTAATTGAAACTATACATACACACATATATATATATATATATATATATATATAAACAAATCTATGAGTAAAAACAATTTTCATCCGAATAATTGCATAATTATTAACATTTATTAATAATTCTAATAGACTTTATTTGTAAAGATATTTTTTTATAGTCTAATTCTTTTTCTTAAGAAGCAAAAAGCAAACAAACAAAATGGTCTTCGTCCTCCGAATAATATATAAAAAATCAAAAGAAGAGCACCAATACCATATGACCAAAAAACAGTAGATTCACGTGGTAAACGACAATGTGATACTCGTTCATTATTTGTTGTTATCGATAAAAGCATCAATGATGGATCATCACGATTGCGCCAAGAAAATGAAGGAATTGTCCATTCAGGAATTATCTTACCCTTCACATCGGTATGTTCTGTATAACAGAAATCATGTGTATGAGCTGTAAATACAAGTCGTGGTTTTAATTTTTTTAATAAATTTTCAGATGCTTCTTGAGATAAAACATCATGACGTTGTTTATGTGGAACAAATTTTGAAGAAGAAGACTATAAATAAAGATATATTTATTAAATATTTCGTAAAACTGAAGATTTTTTTTTACTTGTCTCCATAGTGAACAATTAGCATCTGACACTCGATATAATGGGAAATGTGATAATAATACTGGTTTAGTCGATATTTCAGATCGATGAAGATCATTAACAATTTCATTAAGTTCTTTTTCAGCACGTGCACATAAACGACATTGATCACCTTCAAATGCCATTGAATTAATTAATATAAAATCAATATGATCATCATCAATTGTTATTGAACGTACATGTGGAGCTTGAAATGATTTTTCAAAACGTTCTAAACGACCATCCGATACATCATAATGAAAACCTATATCATGATTTCCAGCAAGTACATACAATTTTGTATTCGTTGGAACAGAAAATAATGAATGAAAACGAGCAACAGTATTTTCCCATTCATGATCTGAACACCATTTACCTTCATCAGTTATATCACCAAGAAAGAAAATAATATGAGGTTCAAAAAGAAATCGTGCTGATTGAAATGACCGATACATTTGCCATTCACGACGTAATTTATCAAACCAATGACCTTCACGTGAACCAAGTAAATGAGTATCAGCAATAAACATAACATGTAATGGTTTTTTATTGGGATTATTTGGTGGTTTAACAGTAAAATCTTGATCAATTTTAGATAATTGTGGCCATGAACAACCCAACAAAACAAAATAATAAATCAAAAATTCACAATAAATAAATATAAATAATAATAAACAAGCAATTCTAGCTAGAAAATGTAACATTGCTTGGTAACAACAAACATTAATTATCTTCATATGAAAAGAAAATTTTTATATGTAATTAATTTGTAAAATAAAAACTTGAACATAATTATTGCTCGTTGAATGTCTTATCGTTGAAGAATAGAAGACACCATTTATTTTAAATATAATTATCTAAAGATAGGATCACATATATAAATAAAAGTATATATAATAGGACGTTTTTTTTAATTTTGATATTGTCTGACATTTACTTGCAAAATTAAATATGAAACAATACAAGACAAAATAATATTAAAGGAATGAATCTAAATATTTGAATCACGAGATTCTTGATCTGTAGTTTCAAACAATTTTAACATAGAAAATTTCATCGAATAGAAAAAAAAATAATTCTATATAGATATATCTTATTTTTTTGTTCATGTCAATCGAATGAATAAATAAATGGTACTGACAATAAAATATCATTATTTGTATTCATCTATTCGAAGAAATTCTATCTTAAAATTTTCGTCACATTTTCTTACACATCGAGATAAATAAATTCGACTAGAACACATACATTGAGATGAAAAAAAATGAAGCAAACTAAAATCCAATGATTATTTTTTTTGAGTATGCTCTTGTACAGACGTTTTTGGTTTAATAAAAAGAGCAATAGCTTTAGCATAAATTTCACCTTCACCATTTTCAACGAAAGCATGCACATACACTTTACGACCATCATGACGTTCAACATGAGCTCGAACTAAAACCCATGCTGGTGTTAATAATGGTTTTATATAATCGATATTAAGATTAGCGGTAAAACAAGGACCAACACAAGAGAATCTATTAAAAACATAACTATTGTTTATTTTTTCTTTCCAATTAAAATTAACTTACGCAGCGGCACCACTGACTTCATCAATCATTGTTGCCGTAAGTCCACCATGTCTATTGTAAATTAACATAATAAAAATTAATAATATAAATAAAATTTCTTAGCTTACACAATGCCTTTATGTCCACAAATACCATGACCAAGATGAAAAGCAACTTGTACTTCTGCTTTATCTTGATTTGATGAATCATCATGTGTCGGTGGACTTGTTGATAAGTCATTAAATGCTTTCAGTACTCGTTCTGCTTGTTTTTCAGTACTCATAAAATAAAAAAAATGTTGAATACCATTAGAATTAAGTAATGAATCAAATAAAAGATGACCAGTTATATCATAAAGTTTAGTTCGATCAACAAAACGACCATTTGATGGTAATGCACGAACCCATTCTGGTGCGTCAGATGGTATAGCTGGTAATTCAACCATATCTGATTGATCGGCCATATCTTTAACTTATGATATTCAAGGATATATGACGTACTTCTAAAAATAAAACAACAAAAATACCTTTTATGACGATAGTGATTGATGAATCATATGTATTATTTGAAAGTTAATTAGTTCAATCAATGACATGTATTCATAATTATCAGATCTTTATGAAATTAATTTATTACTATAAAATATAGTCTAGAAAACAAATTATGAATGAAAAAGAAAATCTTATTTCAATGTAATTTGTTAAAGTACATGACTTGTTATTTACGATTGACTAAAACTGCCATCTATCGAGAGCAATGATTTTGTCATCATACAATTCTCTTATTCAAATTATAGATATTGATGAATTACATTTTGAGATAATTTTCTATTGTCGATCATCAAGATTTCAACTTTTTTTCAAAATTAATTATCACAATTGATTAACATAGAAAATTTGTCGAGAACAGTTAATATGCCAAAAAATAAAACCAAAAAATGAATTTTGGTTGTAGTATAATTATTCAAGACTTATATCTTCAAGTTTCAATAGAATTTATTGAACAAAATATATTTATTTTGTTTTTCTTGAAATTTCGACTGAAAATGGAACCTTTTTTATTTTACCTCGAGTAGAATAAAAAAGAAGATCTATTTGTTTGTTACATAGATTCTGTTGATAACGTTTTTTCAGATCGAACAGATCAATAATTTTTATTTGCTCTTTTGAGAGTCATTCTAGGCAACAAATGCCAAGAGAATAGGTGTTTCGTTAATCAGACAACAATCTCAAATCAATAGAACCTCATACACTATTCTTTCCAAGTTATTATCATCTTACTCATCGTATAATGTAAACTTAATTCTTTCTAGATACATTAAATTTTTTCGAAACTTTCATATACGATGGAGAGATGTGAAAAATTCAATTGTATTCCACATTATATTTTAAAGACTATACAAGTTATAATGAAGTTTAATGGCACACAAATATGAGTTACTAAATTTTTTTTTTATAAATTAAATAAATTGAGTTATTTAGAATTTGTTTAACATCTGAAAATATCTTGAATACATGCTAGTTGATTTATAAAACAAAAAAACAATGTAATAATACATAAAGTACAATTAAAGTGGAAATGATAGATGTTCTCACAAAAAGGCATATTTCAAAGACCAGAATAGTTTATATTATTTCGGATTGTGTGTAATACGTCGAATATGTTCATCGATCTGAGCAACTTTATCATGTGTTACTGAATATGTACGACAATAAATAGAACGTGCTTTTTGAAAATATGAAAGTGCTTGTGAAAAATCTCTTTTAGATTCATTAATACGACCAATATTTTCAAGAGTTGCTGCAATAGATGGATGTTGAGAAGGAAGTGCTTGTGTTTTGATTTCCAATGAAGTTAAATAATGTTGAAGTGCAAGATCATATGAACCTAAATATTAATAAGTAATCGGTGATTGGAAAGATTCTAGACAAGATTTTTATTTATTTTTGACTTGCTAAAAAGTATTTCCGCCGAGTTAAAAACGATGAATTAGGATACTCTTTTCGAATATGGATTCAGAAATCGTTGTTCGAAAGAAGTAAAATAATTTTTGAAAAGTTCAAAAAATTAGTTTGGATTTTCACTATTGCACTTCGAAACTAAAAGTTGCAATCTTTATTTATAGATCAATTTGTAGACCAGAAGCTAACCTACAAAATGGACTATTTGTTGAGAAGTGTCCGCTCTACAAAACGATCAACTTCGACAAATTTTTAGCATATTTGAAAAGGAACCTATGGGTAAATAAAAACCTGTTGGCTCACCATTAAAAATAATTTTACAGATCTTTCAAAAAGTCTCTCACTACTCTTGAACGAAAATAGACACAAAATTTCTAACGAGGGAAACACTCGAGGTGACAGCTTGCGTTTGAGATGAGGCTTCAGTTATTATGTAGAACCTGTTGAGACAAGAAGAAACCTAGAAGGATTCTTTCCCATGCGCTTGACTGAAATTTTAGAAGATTCTAATGACTTCAAGAGCTGTCCGTGAACAAAGTTTTACACCAAAATTCATTTGTCTATTTTTTTGTGAATGGCGTGTCAAAAGAAAAAAAGTCCAGTGTAACGGTCATAGCTTTAAAAGGACAGCGCATGGAAAAGAGTCCTTCTAGGTTTCTTCTAGTCTCAACAGGCCCTACGTAATGACTGGAGTCTCATCTCGGGTGGTTTCCTCGTAAGTCCATTTTTCAAATTTTGGTCGTGGCCTATACTCAAATGCTTTCAAGCAAGTCAAAATAAACAAACATGTTCAGCAGAAACATCGACCTATAAGTTCTGTCCGAAACTTTTTTTTTGACAATTTCAAATATTCATTTTAGATTACCTTGTTTCCAATAAACATCACCGATATTTTCATGACTATCTGCAATTTTTAGATTATCGTATTTTGGTAATTTTCGCATTTGAAATTCAAGTGCTTGATTATACCACATAAGACTTGTTTCAAAATCTGCTTTGGCTACAGCTATTGAACCCAGTAAATTATAACATTGAAGTGTATCTTCATGATCCGAAGGTAAATCTTCGAGATAACTATTTGTATATTCTTCAGCTTCATCAAATTTATCTAAATCATATAATACTTGGACAAATGTAAGAACATTGATTTCACCGCTACCATATTTCTTTTTCATATCATCAAATACTTGTTTAAATTCATGATCATTATCACTATATAATGTTAGTTCAATAGTATATAAACCATCATTTCCACAAGTAATATTATTAATTAAAAAAATTGAACCAAACATAAAAAGTACTTCATTTTTATCAGTATCAGAATGAATTGAACCAATATGAACGAATGGTTTCGAGCCAAGTATTCGAGGATCAGCATCGATTTCAATTAATACTCGATAATAATCATCTCTTATTGTTTGACTACTATTAAGAAAATTACGAGCTACTTCAGAATTGATTGTTGTTGAAAGAAATGAATTTACTACAACACATTGTCCAATTGAACTTATCCATTTATCAAGTAATTCAATTGGCATTAATTGACTTCGATAAACATGTAATGGTGTTGAACATCTATGTTGTTGCATTTGTTTTTCAACATCATGAAGAATTCGTCGAAATAAAAATAAACTACGAATATCTTGACTTTCAAGTGAATAATTTAAAATTTTATATAAAAAACATTCTTGAAGATACCACCATAAAGCACGATCAGGTGAATAGTTTTTTTTAAATTCACTTAACATACGTATTTCATTTTGATCGTCTTTCATTTGTTCATAACACAAAGCAATAAGTTCTTCATAATCAGCCGTATTATATGGTATTCTCATTAAACAATCTAATAGTAATTGCATTTGAAAATATTCAATAGATAATCCATTGCTTAATTGATTTTCATCATTAGCTATAGCAGAAGCACTAGCAGTTGATGATGATTCATTAGATGATTTGCGATTTTTTTTCGAAATTTTGGATCGAATATAATCCATTATTGAACTAAAATATGAGATTAAATATGATATAGATTTATATTTAATTTTGAACAATTTTCTAAGAGAAAAAGTATTTTCGTAATTGAAAGCTATAATAAATCGTCTTTTTTTTTAATAGAAAAATCACCTCTCTCATTTTAGTAGACTCTCGACAGAAATGGTTTTATAAGAGTTTTATATTATCTCGCAAAAATGACCAAAAAATTCTAGGATCATACTAGAAAACCTAGATGCTTCTAGAATGATGGAGACGATTCTCAGAAATGAAAGAATTCGTCAATGATGATAACCTATTTTTGAATCTCGGAAGAATGACTCATCATAATATTCAATGTTGGGATTACTTACTTACTTATAGATTTTGTCGGTGTTACTATTGGTCAGAACATTTTGATCAATGAAAAAACGATTCTCTACAGAGGACGCGACTGATACAGAAGATTCATAATTGATGATTAGAAGACGATTTTTGTTTGGAATAACCGAAAATTAGTTCAGAAGTTTGAAGAGACTTTTCTCTTCATTCATCAGTAGTCTGTTAGTCATATTTTTAATTATATTACAATATAACCTTTCTGTGATGGACACGTTTTAGTCTTTTCAAAAATATCTACTATACGGAGACTAGATCTTTTCTCAAAGCAGTTTTTTTTGCAAGGAACAAATGTATTTTCTAGGTATCTGAAGAGTGTTAGTGAATAAAAAAATTAACAATTGTTAAAATATAGTAAAATATCATTGTCATGGACATCATTGGGACCTTTCAAAAGTATTTCCCATACAACTATATGAAAGTGTCCACTACTATACAGAGGTGTCCACTATGAAAGGTTTTGCTGCATATTATTTTTACTTTTGAATTGTATCGTGTCATATGGTTTTATATGATTGATGCTCTAACTTCACAGAATATTGTAATAAATAAAATTGATTTAGAAAAATTTGTTAATTTTTTATCAAGCTCATGATTTGATGTAGACTAACAAGGGAATCTCTTCAAGTAATAAAAAGCTTTTGAAGCAAGACTTGCGTCATTCGATTTAAGTTTACTGAGACTAAGTGAAACCTCTGATGGTTCGTTTTTTTTATTGATTTCCTCTGAAGTTATAGTTATTCCTCGTAGTGTACGACTTAATTGTACTATTTCCGACATTGCCTACACAAACCGCGTAAAGTGGGTCCAACTCGAAAAGAAAGCAGCAAAGGCACAAATTATGAGAAGTTTTGCCTAGTTTCACAAAGGAACGTACGAAAGTGTTCGACCGACTTTTGATTGAGACTACTCAGATGTTTAGTTGTAGTGAGAAGTGTCAAAGTATACGATAATTCGGTTGTCTGGACTATTATCTGAGTACAATCTCGATCAAAAAGTGATTGGAAACGTTCCCTCGTCAGTAGACTTTATCTGATGACATAGGTCTTACCTGAAAAGCTTTTTATTACTTGGAGAGATTTTCTCGTAAACCAATAAAAAAAGTAAGATTCCGAATCGATCTGAGATGGATTGACAAATATTATAGATATGATTAGAGACATAGAAATGAAGGTCTCCAATAAATATTTAACTATAATATTTTTAAAAGTAATATTCTGATCAAAAAACTGATTCATATTAAAGAAAATTTTGAATTTTATAAACCAATTGGAAAATACGCAAGATGATACGTGTACGAAAACAAGAACATATCTCTCTTTGAAATAGAACACAGAAAGCTATAGATTTTTTTAATATATTGAACAATATCGCCGACCATTTTACGTACGATATCCAATCCGAATGGTCCATATAAAAGGACTATTGATCTATGAAATGCATTTTGATAATGATTATGAACAACTTGAATACCAACTCGTTTAAGATGACCTTCATAAATAAATGCTTCATCACGTAAATAACCATGATCAACAGTTAATATATATATATATGTCGACGACAATTTAGCTAGTTGTTTATCATCTACAAGCAATGGAGAAACTTCAGGATTGAGAGCTTTTTTTTACCTTTTTTGATAAGACTTAGATTACTTTCATTATCATTTGTAATCGGTTCTTTATATACTGTTCAATATTTTAAGAGAATTAAAGACCAATCAACATATTTACGATATTGTCTTTTTTGTTCAATGCTCGTATGATTATTATTATATAATACTTTGTCAGTAGTTTTATTTAAATAAACCGATCGTTTATGATAAGAAGTATAATATAAAAATTTTAAATGTTCTTAAATATCAGTTGGAAGCATTGTATTAAAAAATTGTAAAGATGGATCAATAAGAATTTGAAGACGAGATCAATATTTACTAACTGGTTGAGTAATAAAACACATGGTAATTATAGCAGCAAGACTACTAACTAAAATATAAAAAGAAAAAGCTAACAGCGCCATCTTTGCGAGACTAAAATGTGAAATACGATGTATCTGCTACCACTAATCACCGGAAAATTGTTTTATTCTATTTATGGCGAGGCATTCGTTTTTACCATCCTCTCAGTTAATACTCCAAAAATGCAATAATAAAGTAGTTCATTTTTATTGATATACAGTCTGTAACGCACGAGGGGGAGAGAAGAAGTACTACGAAAGTGTGTTTCACGGTCTGTGAGGGAAACGGAGATCGAAATTTTTATCCTTATACTTCAACATTACTTTTAATCGGTTCAAAACGATAACTAAATAGAATTTTTTCATCAATTAACAGATGTAGAAGTGTTTAAAAAAGACTCGAATAAGTCTTACTCGATCGAGATGATAACTGCATTTACTAATCTTGATAGTGTACTGGTGAGTGAATTATATGTGTCTATAATTTTATTAAGAGAAATTCTAAAACATGTTAATCATAGTTACCAAGCGAACCCATATAAAATGCATCATCGGGAAAATAGACAATGACTGGTAGATTATTATTATCATTGAGTGGTCGAGCAATTCTAAAGATATAATATTCTCAATAAATGTATTCTTAATCTAAATAAAAAGAATACAGGCGCACGAAAAGACATTATTTTACCTGAAGGTTAGCATTTTCTATTTTTCAATAACGTTATCAGACTAATAGTTGTTCGCAAAATTATAATACGATTTGACAAACCCAAAAAATTCGACTACTATACTCTATTAAAACGAAAGCGTTCATAAGTTACAATAATCAAAGTAAACATAAAATTAAATGAGTAAATTTCATGGGAGCAGTAAGTATTTAAACTCGATTCATTTGTGTAATATCTTCACTATTTGGTGTATAGAGAAGGTATTCATTAAGGTTTGCTATAATAGCGACTAGGATGAATAGATATTGAATCGTACAAGCCATATATAATCTTAAAAGAGAAGAGCTTCCATGGAACGAAAATTACACTTTCAAAGTCGTATTTAGTTGAAGATACTGACCATTGGAATCAACAGCGATAGAAAATAAAGTATATTTAATATTATTATTAGTTTATTTGGTACACACAATTAAGAAGAGTTCTGAAAGATTTAATGTTTATAATTTCAGTTCGGAATATTATATTAACATTTTAAACTTCAATTTAAGAAAAGAAACAATTCTTACACTTATATGTATTATAAACAAATGAAATAAAACTAATCTGACAAACAAACACACACACACACACACAATCTTTCTGTCTACACTTTTTCATGTAATTAAAGTAGTTCTGTTAATAACAAACTGAGCACAGTCATGAATAATATGAAAAGCTTCATTAAAAGCAACTGGAAAATCCATAAATGTCATTGCACCATGAAATATATGATATTCTCTATACACAATGTCTTTTACATTAAGTTTTTGTAAACGTTGAAAATATAATTGTGCATCAGATAGAAGAACATCATATGTACAAGCACAAATAAATGTTGATGGACTATTATATAAAATTTCATCATCTGCTAATAATGGTGAAATATTTTCATTCAACAATTTCCAAGTATCTCGATGAGATTTTTCAATTATGTGATCTTTATTTGAAATTTGTAAATTAACTTTCGAATAAAAATTATTATAATCATCAGATGATAAATGTTGATTATTAAAAAGTTCATTTTTAGTAAAAGATGTATTCACATAGAAATTCGTTACTTGTGTAAAAATATCTTCACAAAGAAGTGATAGAATATGATACGGTAAATTCGTTAAATAAGATGGTAAACGAAAATTAACAAATTGAAGTAATGGATAAAGAAGAAGAACACCACGAATTACTGGTTTTTGTTTACGACGTAATTGACGTTCTACTACAGCTGCTATATTACCTCCTACGAAAACAAAAGTAGAATCATAAAATTCCAGATTAGATTTATCTAGTTCGATCTACCTGCTGAATCACCACAGAGAAAAACTTGTGTAGGATCTATAGAAAATTCTTGATAATTATCCATAACATATTGTACTACTTTAATACTATCTTCAATCGGTATTGGATAATGTACATATGGTGTTAATCGATAACTAATGATATATTAATTAATATTTATGACTATTTCATATTACAATGTACTTACTTGACTGAAATAACTTTTGCACCGCTATACATTGATAAATGGTAAGTCATAGTATCATGAGTATCTACCGAAATTAACAAGTATATTTTTGTTGAGAATTTCAGATCACTCTCGCTCAAGAAAATTAATTTTCGACCAAAAATAAAAATAAAAATAAAAATAAAGATAAATATCTGCTAAGATGGTTTGAGGTTTAATCTTTCATCTACTACATGATTATTTATTTGGCACGTCATTTTTCCGAAAAAATTTAGATGGTATCCATCATTTTTTAGTGGAACTTATATATGTTTTCGAAGAAAATATAATGAGTGAAAGTTTAAATCGAACTTTTTTCAGCTTCCTCCTAAGCCCTAGCAATCGGTAGTGGGAGAAGGAACTGTCTAGAACCTTCCAACGCATTCTATAAATCTAAGATTTCTACTGTAGATTCTAACTAGTCTAAATATTTCATGTTTTTGTATTTAATGTAGCGAAAGGATCTTATTGTAGGTGTCAGTCAATAGGATGGTGGTAGTATTGATCTAGCAAAGTCAAAATAGGAAGAACATGGAAAATTGTTGTTTTTGTTTTTTTTTTTCAACGAATTTTTTGACATTCTAACTTCCATTATACCAAATTGTAGTCTGAATTTCGCTCTGCATCTGGTAAAATTTTGACATCTTCATATTGTCTTTTTGATCTCTTTTCTTCAACAAGGTTACTTTGATGTATGGTAATTTTACCGTGTATGCGCAACGGAATTCTGGCTACAATTTGGTATGATGAAAGTTAGAATGTCGGAAAAATTTGTTGAAAAAAAAAACAAAAACAACATATCGAAGTGTAAATGGTCGTAAAGAAAAGTCTGTGGACTCAAATAAATCGTACAAAAAGACACCTCAGACTCTACTCTTTCCAACTACGCAACCCCGAGCTCGATAGCCCTAGCCAATCAAAAGTTATTCAAAAAATGACCGCGTCCATTTAACTCGGAAATGGACATTAATTCAATTCTAAGTTTAGGCAAGACTCAACAGTATACACCAAAGTTTATCGAGAGAAAGGATGATGTGCTCGAAGATTAAATTAATGTGTCAACCAGACTAATACGACGCTTGAACCGATGAAGCAAAGCATAAAATGATATTTGCCGCTTTCCATGACATGTATCATATATATTATCATTGGGATGAAAGAAGTTATATATTGAAGAGGTATTTGACAATACAAATAAGTTTTTTTTTAAAATCTCGATGTTAAATTTGTCTGATAGAATGGTAGAATAGTAATTCCAAATGTAAACATTTTCAAAATGATAAAATTTAAGAGCGCGCGTAACAACTATAAAAATTGTTATAAGTTTGATGTATTTATTTCTTTGGCATGTTATGTAAATTATTTTAATCTCTCTGACAATATATCATAAACTTATAACAACCAGAGTTTGTGAGTTCTACATTTTGATCCCTCGTGGAATCGCACTAACAAATGTTTTTACTTGAAAAATATGTTAAATATGTTTTGTTTTTAAGAGAGGAAAATCTTTTTCATTTTTTCTCTGTTTATGTTGTTTTGAATGCGTAATCCAAAATTTTCTATAGGCCTTGATTTCATATATATTTGTGTTTTTGTTTGAAAGAGCATGCTACGATTCAGGATATGATAGAATCCATTTTTTTTTAATTGAATTTTGTTACTATTATATAAAAAAAGAGCACCATTACAATTTAGAGCGCTATTTTTTGAGAGTTTTTTGAAACATTGAACTTTTTTCTATTTAAAAAGGTAAGGATTTAAAAAAAGAAGTTCTTTCATGCTCTGCATCCTGGCGTGCTCTTCCAAATGGGCGATTTTTGTCTTTAGTTTGTAGAATATCGCCCGAAGACGTTATGCTGCAGGGCTAAAACTTTTACCATAGTCTCGCCACTACAGCCCTCACATCTTCTGAAAATTTCATGGGATTTGAATGTATCCAATCCAAAATCGATTTTTGAGAGAAGTGGTAATCCTGAAAATAACTTACAAATACTGCCAAAAAAGAATCCACCGCCATGAAAAAATATAATCACTGGAGATAATAATGTTTTTGACACATTGTTTGGTGTATAGATACGAACAAGAACATCTTCTATATATTGATCATGATACTACAGAAAAGAAAAAGTATTAAATTACTACATATTGTTACTTACCAATACTTGGCCATGATGGAAAGGACGTATTTTGATTTTATCATACGAATCAGCTATAGTATTAAGTATTGTATAATAAGGAATACCAATGATTGATTCAAAAAGTTGACTCTATAAAATTAAAAAAAAACAAAACATTGAAATTTCAAATGAATTTCTTCATATTACTTACAATATCAAGGATAAAAGCAAAAGTACCCGTAATAATTTTATATTTTATTGGATGTATCATTGGACCAGGAACACGAACAAATACAATATAATGAGTAATAAAAACAGCAAATATCACAGTAATTATCAAAAGAAATGATCTCAATGATGCTACACATGATTTTTTTTGATATGTCATTTGTGGCAGAATATTTAACAAATTTGCAATACATGCATCTTGTTTATATGGATGTATAAAACACAAGAACGAAAAAGTACAAAGGTTACAAGATAAAATACAGAGAAATATTGTATCATACGGTAACTACATGACACGAAAAAAGAAAAAGAAATACATTACACTATAATAAACATTAAAATAGTTCTCAGTGAAAATATAAAAATAGTGTATATGTAAATATCTCACTGAATAGATATAAATATTATATTCTTGTGACTCATTAGTTTTTTTCCCAATCAAACTGTCAAATTATTTTTGTTTTGAAGGTTACACTTGAATTTGAATAATAATGTTTGATGGTGATATAGATCACGATTTGTTCTTTCAATGAAAAATATCCATTCGTACATTGGATTCTAGAATGTTTTATGATCAATTTGATTTTCATTAAACAATGTACTAGAAAAGCACTTGAAAATTTTTGTTTATCTTTATTTTTATAATTGCACTTTTGTATGCGTCAATTTATAATTGAATAAGAATCTATTAGTTGTACCGTCTTTTTAAGAAAAAAAACTGACCATTGAACTTCTCCCTTATTATTGCGATAATCCTCAATGGCTCTATTATCATTTCGTTCTCTTAATTACATTTTACTTTATCTTCTATATGGTGTGATCTGGTTTCAATGATGTCCTTATGGTACATGTGTCATGACCGTCGGTTGATATATACTATTCTTCAGGACATTGCGTGATCTTATGCATTTATAGACTCACAAACCTTTTCTTTTTTTATCTTTCGTTCTTCTTTCCTCACTTGGCATGTACCTCTTGACTTTATTTTTAAATAAAACTATCATAACTAGTGCCTAACATCCTTTGGTTTTTGTTTTATGTTTTTATTATCATATTTCGTCTTTTTTTTTTTTCTAAACATATTATATATAGTGAGAAAGTGCGAAATGCACTTTATCTATATGTTCTCCTGGAAAAATGAATAATGTTTAAAGCAAAAAAAAAAGCTGTACCAGAAAAGAAACGTTACATTTGTTTTTCTACAATGTACAGTGTGAGCTAAGCAGATTTTCTCTATTAATTATTTTGTTGGTATTTATATATTAATATACATTAGTTCACAGTTAATATTGATGCAATGCTCTATCTATAAACATAACCGACATAATAATATTAGATAAAGACTGTTTTGTTTAGGGAAAATTGGAAAAGATTCAATACTAAGTCATTTCTTGTTTTTTCTGTTACTTGTGTAGATGTGCATAACGTTACATCCTTTCTTTTCTATTATATGTTTTTTTGTTTCTCTCATGTTTACTTGTTGTTTTGTTTATCAATATTTAGATATTTTTCATATCTGTATATGTGTGTTTTATCTGCATAAAGAATAAAAGGCATAAAATCATTTCATAACATATTTCGTCTCAAATCGATGCGTACTTCGATTAGACATAACATGCTTTCCACTATAATTATTACAAACGTTACATTTATTTTTAACAGAAGAAATGAATAGTAATGCGTATCAAAGTTTGAGTTCGATTCGGCTTTGTCAAAGTGTAAACTGAACCGAAAAAGAAAGCTTCTTTTCAATTTCATTCTAAAACTAGTAATTTTAATTCAACTCGTTCATCTTTTTTCAAATGATTGGTATCTAAACTTCTGTTCCTATAATAAAATAGACTCCGTATCAAAAGATCTTACCGAAATAAGAGAGCATCCGAAGGACCAATATATTTGATATAATAGAAGATTCTTTCTTATTTATTTAATTAGAAATTGTAACCTTAATCAATATATTCAATCACAAGTATGCCTGATTATTAGAGTTCTCACCTGAAAACCAGTGAAAATTAATGCTAAAATGATTGATACATCTTTATAATCCTAGAAAATCCTTCGAAACACTCCAAATTGTTTTAATTATTAATTTTTATTCAAATGAAAGGAGATAAAAAGCAGCTGAGAAAGCGGGATGAGTTTTAGTCTTTGTACCTCAAATATCTCCTGGAAGAAAGCATTTGGAAGTTTGAAGTCAATGACAACTTTTGCTCTACTCATCGAAATCTATCTACTCTGGAAGTTTCAAATACTTATGATGAGCCGTTCTTCAGAAATCCAGGAAATGAAAGCCCCCGTAACGGTTTCGGTTCCAAGAAATTTTAAAACGTCGATTCCAATTTTTTTGGCACTGTCGAACTTTATCAATCACAAACAGTGATAAACATCTCGGCATGCTGCTGCTCTTGCAACTTAATTATACATTGTGCCCAATATTGATACGAATTCTCATATATGACGAAAAATGGTTCTATCATGTTTCGCATATTAATCCTATAGAAATTGTGCTAAAAGTTTTCCAGGAACGATGAATTGATGCAACCTTGAAATGCTTGTTGGTCAAGGAGAAAATGATAAAATTTTCATGACTTCATGAGTTATAGAAGTCATAAAATTAGTTTGTTTCATTTTAGAATTTCTCAATTGATTTATTTGAACAGAGCAAACATTCGTTAAAAAGAAAAAGATTGTATCATCATTTTGACAACATTAAATTAAAAATATAGTGTCTAACAAAGAAGTATTTGTTCGATCATGTGTTGTCGTACATTGTCAGTCATTAGTAAATCACTATGCATTCGATTATTATCATTGAAAAAAATGTTACTCAATTGTTCTTGAAGAAACCAATTAGAGAAAATTGAAATCACTTTATTTTCATCATTGTATATTTCTTCAATGTAGAAAACATTTTGTTTTTGATCGTCACCAAGAAGATATTCAAAATACGTAGTATCGAAATTATTTTGACGAGCTGATTGAGGACCGATAACTATCACTTTTATTGATGGATCGTGTCGATTGATATTATGTTCATTCAGCCATTTTTGAATGATATGATGCGTGGAATTCAAATTAGCGATAGCAGCTGCGTCTATCAGAGCAGAAGAGTCATTCCAGATATGTTGAATGTAGGTCGTTAGACTCTTTTGATCAACTGACATTTTATTGTTGATTTTTTGTCGAATGAATGTTCGAGATTCATGTATAATTCGAAGTGCTGACTGACGTTCCGATCCGATTGAATCTGGCAACTGAAGATTATTCAATTGTTTCCAATATTGTTCGAGTGTATCATCGGACACAGTAGGCAAATTGTTGCAAAGAAGATAGACAGTAATTGGAATATGTGCAATAGTTTTTAATTGATGAAAACTCTGTGGAATTGTTTTGATTGTTGGATAACGAATTCCTTTGTGAATAAAAGTTAGAGAACCGCCATTTCTGATGAAGACTGTACCATTTTCACTTGTTAAACGCCAATAATCATCAAGAGCGTTTCTATAGTGACGTCGAAATTCTTTGTTCAGTTCTTCTAATGATGTCAAGAGAGGTTGAGGTGTTGTTGTTACTGTTGCTCCTGTTTGTTCAACTATAGAATACGTGTCAATAGCGTTACAAGCAATTATTGATTGAATGAAGAGTAAGATATAAGAAAACTTTTCGAACATTAGTAGACCAGACATAACAAAATTACTTACACTTTTTAAGTTAGAATATAGTGCTGTTTTGAAGGAGACATGAAGCTTTTATACAAAGTGTATATGTGGGGTGAAAAAATTCACTCGTGAATCAAGATATGATTATTATTACTACATGGATAAGAAAGCTGAAAAGAAAAGAGGAGTTAGCGTAGGAGCGTTAATCCCCCTTTATCCATCTCTAGCACAAGTCTTCTCCTTTCACATTATTGATCGTTGTGAATTCACTTAAGTTTTTCCTTGTCCAACTTAATTGACGACGTAGCTGCTCAACATGCAAAAAGAAAGTCAATTTTTTCTTTAGACTATTGATATTAGATAGACTTCAATAAACAGTGAAAAAAATCTATCTTAGTTGCAGTATTGGAATCTTTCTTTCCGAGTTATAATTGTTTTAGGGACTTTTCAACGTACTGAAATTTCAGAGATACGCAATGATTGTAAGTTTTGCAGGAGAAAAACTGATAACTTTTTCAAAAATATCTGCTTAAATAGACGAAAGAAAAGTTAATACTATGTTCGGGTTTTGCCAATTCGGATTCGCTAGTCGATCTGTGCTATGTCTTTAAATGATTATGCTGCATCAGATGAATGAAACATCAACCCGATTAAGTTTCATTCTGTCGTACTGATCTATCACGTCCAAGAAAATCTTGATTATTTGACGGATTTGACACGACATGAAATAATCCCTATTCTGTTGTTCTCTCGGTTCACATTTCGATTGAAAGTTCTATTGAATGACAATATTCATACGTTGGTCGAACAGGTTCAGCTTATTTATATCAACACGGTAATGCTTGCTAAACTAACTCTCAGCATCGAACTTCTTGAAGTACAATTAAGCGAGATTTTCAAAGAATTTTTAGCTCTACTCATTATTTTGTTTTTCTGTACAAATGTTGATATTTCGGACAGTTTTCTTATTGAAAACTCGGTGATATGCTCCAAATCCAACTACATGATAATGACACTGACGAGAGGACCTCTTCAGATGTCAAATCACTTTTTAACTGGAATGGTGTTCATTTGATGAGTGCTAATCAGTAATAGAAAAATCTAGAATAATTTGCTTTTCCGGACCTTCCTTCTTGGTATATAGAAATTTAACTGAATTTTTCAACAAAAAGCTGTGGTCCTCCTGAGGTCATATGGAAAATTGACTTTCGATTTCAAACTTTGTACGAATAAAATTCTCTATGAGATCAATTCATTGTGCAAGCTTTAACTTTTCTAGTATTACCCTTCTGAAGATGAATAAAATTTCCTTTTACACATGAGAGAATTTCAAATATTCAATATCTTAGGATAGAAGATACTAGCTGCAGTCATGTCACTGAAAATACAAGTGATAGTAATTTTCTGTAGTGATTACTTGAATTTTTGAGTGTTGTTCATGATATGCAAATAGTTGAAATTCAAATGACTGAAAAAAGTTCTATGGAAGTTATGTCTGTCATTATCACATGGAATCGAAAAGGTACAAAAAAATAAAAAATACATTGATTGAATGGAATTAAATTTCAACGTGAGTAACTTTCCAACACAATCAAAATAAACTCGTTCGTCATGATGAAAATAATCAAATCTTCCCACTTTTTGTTAGGCTCTTCGACTATGTACAATCTTAAGAACGAACTGAACTCAATTTCCTCATATTCTATCAGACATCCTAAAGATATTTTTTTGTCTCATTGTGCTTGTCAAATGTTATTGCGCATAGACAACCAATGAGAACAACATATAACAATGACTTCGCCTCGCTATATATCACTTTTGAAAGTACATCACCTTCTGTAGGCGATACGTCACAATATGACGAAAGCGAACGAGCGGGCTGCTCATGTTTGCTCTTATCAGAAGAAAAAGCAAAAGAATAGGCGAATACAAATACAGATATATAATCAAGGACAAAAAAACCATGTCTTTCATCCTTTGCTTCTGTTGTCTTTTTGCACTTTATGTGACCCCGTTATTATGATAACAGAGATTCGATTTATTCAATCATTAAGCTGACATTAATAAATGTCCATTTACATCAAGAAGATTCGCAGCAAATGGAGAGAAATATTGACATACCTATTATCGATCCACGAGAATCAAAGTTCATCAAATAAAGAATCAGACAATGTTGATGAAAACAGAAGAAAGTGTGAGACGAACAAGATACTTCGATCGAATCGGAGTAACTCTTGTACAACGTTCAATTTCATTTCTAATCGTTATTTGTTCCTTCTTTCAATCAATTGAGTCAATGAGAGATTCAAGCTGAAGTTCTGTTTCGATCTAAATCCATCTGTCAACAATCAGAACCATCGAGCGATACAAAAGATCATGACAAACAAGATAGTTAATCCTATAAATGTCAATCACAAAATTTATCTTCATCAATATCGATTCGCTAATTTGTGTTTTTAAAAAGAAACCAAGTTGGTGCCTATGACTATACAGTAAATCAAAAAACGGCAATGACTAGATCAAACGAAAATCTAGCAACAAAAACTAGTATTAATTATGAGTTGAAATACATCTTTTTCATTATTTATCGATTAAGATGAATTTTTACATAGTATCCTATATCGATAATCTTTCCTACTATCAATCAAATCTTATTGACTTAAAAAAAGAAATAAAAAATCTGAAGGATGCGGATGTTAGGATTAATGATAAAAAAGATCCATATCCACACATTGTCCTTTTTAAATACTTCATGGAAAAATTCATCACTAGTCCATGTCATGCAAACTGCTCGAAAAGCACCGATTAACCACGATTCTTCTGCTTAATTTGTTTTTGCATCTTATTGCATGAATATTTTTCAACTCTGAGAAAAAATGTTAGATTTCACTCGAAACTACATCCATGCCAGCTATATCAGCCGCATTGGCTATAAACGATTTATTATTGTTTATATTTGGATATATAATTGTTTCTGTAGCATCATTTTGAATATACACCATAGCCTTTTTGTCTCAAATTTAAGTTGAATTTTTTATGTTTTTTTGCTGCTTTCTATTTTTTGTATCCAATAAAAGATATTCATTACATATTATGATTATGGTCATATAGAGCAGAGATTCGCAAGACAGCTGCGTGTCCTAACGCACGTCGATGCAATGTTGAGCAAACTTGCATGGAGAGCGCGCTATGCCATCGCATTGTATCAGACGTCCTGAAAAAATATTGAAGAAACGAATTTGTCCTAATGAAACGCGTTCGCACAGCAAAAGCAAAAGAAGGATGCGACACGCGTAAGCGCATGAACAATGGCGAGAAGTAGCGGGGATCTGTCTCATGGATCTCTAATGTAGAGATCATGACCCGATTTAATTGATCGTATTTTAAAAGGCGACAACTATTAACAAATAGAACTGATGACTCATTTTATGCATTCATGATAAATAAAACGTTCCACAATCAAACAAATTATGCTATTGGCCACGACGGTGAATAAGGAAACTTCAACAATGGTGAAAAAACTAGATATGACAATGATCAATCTTGACTCTGAACAATTCAATAGCAATTGAATTTATACATACAATTACTATCCATTTCGACATATAGTGTGCTCCACTGATTTTTGAATAGCTTTTAATAATAACATCATAGAGATCTGCGCTTTTCACCATTTCAGATAAAAGAGTCAGGGTCATCGAAGTATATCGAAAATTGATCCGTCAGCCATTGACAGATTAGGTGAATTCTTAGTGAAGATTTGCAAAGACGATATTCTGAAGCCATTTCCTTCCGATTTAGACTTTTGATAGGGCTAATCGATAGAAAAAGTTTTTCTCTTTTGATCTACACAGGGCCAACATCCCTAACTTGTTCTGTTCAAAAATTATAAAACTTTTACTAAGATCCCCGATTTTAGCCATGTGATCTGTAATCACTCGGAAAGTAGTTAGGCAAGCATAATTTACCATACTGATTCGAATGGTGATATTTGTTGTTAGGTTCGAACTCGTCTGACACTACGATCTCAACATTTCAAAAATGTCGACTCCTTGGTTACATCGAGATTGATTGTAGAATTTCAGAAGTCTTATACCTCTCAAACAGAACAAGAGAGGATATCGGTCTTGTATAGATCGAGAGAAAAGAACTTTGTCTATCGATTAGTCCTATTAAAACTCAAAGTCGAAAGAAAAATAGTGTCAGAATATTATTTTTAAAAATCTCCACTAAAAACTCACCTGATTGGTCAATTGTTGACCAATCAATCTTCGATGACCCCGAGTTTTCTCTCGTAAATAGTGAAACGTTCAGGTCTCTATGATGTTCCTATCAAAAGTTATTCAAGAAACAGTGGAGTATATTGTTGTTTGAAGCGAATAGTACGTAGTTAATATACTTTTAAATTATTAATATAATTGCTAGTTGTTACAGATGGATTAGAAATTTGTAATACTTGTAATAAAATATCATAAGTTCATTTCTTGTCAATGATTATATATGGTAAGATTTGTCTATTCGATTGTGAGCATCTGCTAATAAAATTGTTTTCAATTAATAGACTGCTGATGTTTTTCAAGGTGTGGGTGTGGATGAAGAAATACCTACGCGCACCCATTCTTAATGTATGTAATGATATTTTTCATCTGATAAGTTAAAAACTAATCAAGATAAAATGATATTTACAAAAAAAGAATTTAGAATTAATTATTTTACAAAACATAAATACCGACAAATGAGATTAAATCATCTGTAGTTTTATCTTCAAGTTTATGATTTTATTTATTACACAGTCGATTGTATTGCTTGTATGTGTGTATATGCAATAATCCAACATCAGGCATTAATTTTAAAATAAGATCTTCAAATATTGAATAAGCCATAAGCGTTTTCTAAATCGAGAATGTTTTATAGACCTAGACCTCGTAGCAACACACTTTCCTGGATGTTTTTTTGTAGAAATATCTTGATTTTGTCTTGATATTCCACAATCTGTCGCCATAGGACTATGT